TATACAATTTCATACAGTATATCTTGTAAATTACACAATATGATTAAACCAGGTACTGTACTTGAAAACAATAAGGAAGTAAAACTTACACGTCAAAAGTGTCAAATGTTGTCTACACAAAAACTGTAGCACTTTATTAAAAGAGTAAGTCTACTGAAGGGGTGTCGTCAATGGAGATGTGCACACATATCAGTGTACTGTGGTCACTGTGCATGGGGTTGTCTGACAGCACATACCTGCTGACCTCGATAGAGAGTGATTGATTGCACGAAGGTTTCCATGCTGGTGCATCTGCGCTTAAACTGTCTTTGAAGCTATGCATTGCGCGATGTGGCATAGAATCTAACTTTCTATGGAATTGAGTATCCATTCAATTATCTCAACAACAAAAAATAATGAAACAAGGGGGGGGGGTGGAGGGAGCGCGTCTATGTTATCCCTACTCCGTGTGGGATATTCGTCTGCTCTTTTACAAATACTGTAATATTGTTTGTAGGCATAGCCACATAGACTTGAGACCAACGGCTTAATGATATATCTAAATGACGAGGTAATTGTACGTGTAATGTCCTACCCATTGACACACTCAATGGTTGCTTAGCTCTGAAACAGGGAACGGGATTATGATGACGACTAAAATGATGAATACAATCTTAGTGATTTTAATGAACAAGGTGGCAGTGATGTTTAATGATGAAGAAAATTTAATTTAATAGTACTTGTATACTAAGGCGAGTATATACTTCATCATAGCATATAAATCTATAAACGTCTCTCTTTTTTGTTTACGGTCACAACTTTATTTCAATCAATAATTAGGAAATGTTTACATGCTGGTATTTGGTTAAATTGTATAAGTTTTTTTTTATAGACCTATGTTAATGTTACTACAGGACTTTCATTCTAGGCCCTATTTTTCACTTTGCTTGATTATATCTTAGTATAATCACCTATTACGGGATTCGTCAAATCCGTCTTTATTCTTTTACATCTTCGTAAATAACATCAACCTTAGCGCAAATTTTATCTTCCACAGATGGTGAGTTTGTGTCGTTCTTCACGGTGCTAGAGGCCTCATCATTCACTTTGTTTAGTTCTTTGTAAACTGCAGAAGTAGGTCTAAAGTTCAGCGCTTTGTATTGCGAGTTTTGATACTGGAGATGAATTTTTCTTTCCTTTCTTTTCTAGAAAAAAAAAAAAAAAAACCCCAATATTTTATTAATTTTGTGTATTTGAAAAACCCCAATATTTTATTAATGTGGTGTACTTGAATAGAAATCACATAGGCCTAACAATACCTAAAATTAAAAATATGACACACTATATTCAAGCTTTATTTCCAAAATAAATTCAATTATACAAAATCCGGCAATTTTTGTTGCAGTTTTACTGGTGTATGTTGTAAATAACAAATGATAAGAACAAAACTTGTGTTAAATACAGTGCACCCTCCAATTCGAGAACCCTCTGATTCGAGACCACTTTTCCAAAGACCTAAATAACAATCTTCAACCTTGTGAAGTTGCCCTCTAATTGGTGACCAACCCCGAGACCACCGCAAATGTTCAGGTCCTAAGGGTGGTCTCGAATTGTAGGGCGAAGGTCATATGAAGGACAATACTTACACGAATGTAGTGGCACATTAAACACGTTGGAAGAGAACCGAGAATGATTGCTGTAAATGTAGTGCAAATGAGGATCATCGTGGATATTTTGTATTGTAAATTTGGAACACCTATTGAAGAATATAAATATGTTTGCATTACATATTATGATGTAGTAATAGTAATCTTTTACATATTTAACTTAAAACTTGCTGAAAATGCAATATTTAATCCCAGTCTCAGAATCATCTGTGAAATGTTCCATTAACAACTGTAAAAAAAAAGCATTAGTCATATACCATAACATATTACACTTAAATGTGGAAGTAGAAACGTGGATACTCTCTATTTTAAGCTAATATCTGAACAATGCTGCAACATGTAAAGTTATTAGTTTAGAAACTTATGGAATTTATGTATCTATATGTTAAAAAGTAATATCAAATGTGAATTTATTATCAACAAAGAAAATACACTAAAGAAATAGATTAATGTAATTAACTATTTAAGACATTAATCTTTGTATTATAGAATTAACAAAAAACATATTTATAAGGATATACCTGTAATAGCATCATAATGCAAACTGATGTCATGTTATTATTCATTATTACCTTAGCATTACTGATATTTCTGATCATCTGTTAATTAATACAGCTCTTGATTAAGAAAATGATTTTTTATCACTTACTGTAAAGGGGGAAAAGGGGAAAAATGATATATTGTACGAATAAAGGTGGGTTATCCACACAAAATAGAAAAAAAAAGAAATGAATTTACAAAAAAAAAAAAAAAAAAAAAAAAAATTACCCAAAAAAGAAAAATAAAAGGATTATAAAATAAAGTGTTTCTAAGGAAATGAAAGGAGTGAAAATTGATTGTAAAAATTGTTCTGTTGTTCTGTTGTAAAATGATATTTTTTAAAATATGAATATGCTGATTTGATTTGCAGATTTTTTAGCAGAGCACATGTTTAATGAATGTTGTATACTTTCATATTTTACCCTTATGTGTATAATTTTGTTTGTCTATTTTATCTAATAAATGACAGTAAATTATTACACACAGAAAAAACATTTACAAGAAAAAAAAACCAATAGAACAAATTAATTGATGGAATTTGATTTATTAACTGACTACCTGACTGATTTTATGGAATATTATTAAAAATATTAATTGATTGATAGTGTATCCTGTGAAATAAGTCACCATTTTCCGCGATACAAAAGCTGATGTTTTATATGAGTAGGCCTATCAAAAGAAAACGGACAAAACCACTTAATATTATATTGGTTAACATTGAAAATCATGGAAAATATTAATTAACTGATAAGGTGTTACTCACATAATGTGATGACTGATATACTGAGTCCTAAACTTGTATTTCCTTCTCTGTGTGCGTCACTTTCCACTCGGCACTGGTAATTTCCACTGTCATCAACAGATGCGAATGGGATTCGAATTCTATTCAAATCTTTATATATTTCATACCTTGAACTATCATTGGTGATGATGATGATGTTGTCTTTAAACCACGTGACTTGTATCGGTGTAGGTGGATTGGGATTAATATTATTGCAAATTAATGTAAACGAATTGCCTTCATATATAACGCTTTGAGATGCAGTGACATTTGGTTTGTTCAAATCTAATACAAAACAAAACAAACTTCCATTAGTTTAGTTTGCACTGGAACGGTTGGGCATTTACCGTTTGATTGGACTATCAATTATATGGACAGATTATATTTTACTCCCAAAAACCATTTCAGAAACCGATTGACTGATTGACAGGTTAAGTGACTGACGACTTAATTCAGAAAAAATACCGTTTGTCGAAAGATACTAAAACATATGATTTTGAAGATGAATCTCAGAAGGGCCCCTAGAATAATCAGATTCTAGGGTCTTACAAGTTCATATAATAATTATGCAAATGGTTACTCACGGAACTTGATAACCGATATATTCAGATTCAAGCTTGTCTTTTCTTCTCCATTTACCTCATTTTCTACTCTGCATTGATAATTTCCACTGTCATTAACAGATGCGACTGGAATTCGAATTCTATTAAAATCTTCATATATTTCATACCTTGAACTATCGTTGTTGATGATGATGTTGTCTTTTAACCACGTGACTTGTATTGGTGTAGGTGAGTTGCCATTGATGTTACTGCAAGTTAAGGTAAACGATGTGCCTTCATACACACTACTTGTAGGTATTGTGATAGCTGGCTTGTCTAAATCTAATTTTTAAAAAATAGATTCAAACATCATTTATTTGAGCTATGAGAGAAAGGAAGGTGTTTCATTCTACTGACATTTTCTCTGGTTATTGTTAGTCTGAGCATGTGTCCACACTGTTTGTCCATGTTATCTAAAATTGAAATCACACTTACACCATACATTAACCAGTGACGGAGGGTCCAAGATGGCAGCAGTTTTATCAGCAAAGAAAACAATACATTTGAACAGTTTTCCAGAATCTTCCCGTGTTGGTGAATCGATGATTAGATAAGCTATACCAGGTGTTGCAATCATTAGTTTGTAACGACCATTTACTTTCTTTATAGAATCAATTACTGCTATATCTATATCTTTTCCTGAGTCATCAACTTCGTTCCAAATGACAGTGTCCACATTTCCTTCAGTTTCTGAGTAGTCACAAGGTATTGTTACTTGATCGGCACCTTCTACTACATTTGTTGTCAGCATCCCTTTAACGGAACTCTTCAGATCATCTAATAGGCCTAGAAAAATACACATGAAAACTAACATAGCAATGGTATAAATATCGTATTTGTCAAATATCTGCAATATTCGCTGAAGTACATAGTAAATTAGACATTTCAATAATGGCGGCTCTAATTTTAATTTTAAGATAATACAAGGGTCATTAGAATCAAAATCATAAAAACTTTATTACCGCTGAATGAAGAAATTGAATGCTCGATTAAATATAGAACCATATAAAAAAAAAACCCAAAAACATTCAAATATAAATACGATAAAAAGTACATCACTTATTCAAAACATCAGATAAAAAAGCGTTAAAATACTAAAACATCAAAAATCGAACAAAATAAGAATGAAAAAACATTAAAATACATTCATAATATAAAATCTGGACAACGTTTAAACATACCTTATCAATATGTACTCATTTTTTATTTCAAATTTAATTTAAATTTATTTTTCGAACGAACATGATTACAAATATAAAAAGTGGAAGCCTGCCATCTTAAAATTGTCAAATCAGGTTTTTAAAAAACTATCAAGTGACTCTCTAAACCACTGTTCCGCAACCTATGGGTCGCGACCCAATGTTTGGGTCACGAAAAAAAATTGATGGGTCGCATCTCTTCAGATCGTGAAAAATTTACTTAACACGAACGAAGACAAACGAAATTATACGAAACTGCAATTTAAATGTGACAATTGCGTTTGTTTACTTTTGTTGCGTGCGTTATCACAGTTGTTTATGTTAAAAATACACTATCAACACATTTGTACCTATGACAACCTTAAAGTGTTAGCTTTGTTCATTTCAATGTGTTAGGCTTTCTACTGCAAATTATAATGAAAAAAACATTTTTAAATTTAATGTGTCTATGTCTCCGCATAACCCAAGTCTCTCTTGCAGTACTAGGAAATTATAAAATAATAATAAATATATGTTAATCATTAATTTTTAAGTCTTTTAACTTATTGAAAAATTTGATACCTTACGTGATTTTGTTAAATGAGTAATTCAAAGTTATATTTTCATTTTTATGGGTTTTACATAGTGATTTTGTGGGTGATAATATATAATATTTTAATCAATTCACAAAAGAATCAAGTGGGTGTTGTTTCCCGCTATCCCTCGCACGTATACAACGACGGACGTTTTATTGACTTTGAGTTCGATGGGTCGCGTCAGAGTGATTGACATAGTCTAATTTGGGTCGTGGGCTAAAAAGGTTGCGGAACGGGGCTCCAAACAGAATCCACACACAGCGAAACATAATGAAGCACTAAACAAATTTAACAAATAAACGAATAAATCTAACTGTCATCTCAAGACGCAACCAAATTTTATATTGGAGAAATTTAGTATGCTTCGCTAAAAAATAATAGCTAGCAAAACCGATTAAAATTTTCATTTCCAGGAATGCACGATACACCTATACATCACTCAAATCAATAGACTAGGTTTACATGTGATTAATTTGGTTGAGATGTAGGCCTAAGTATGCACCGCCTATATAGTTTCAGGTGCCTGATTTCTACTCACACATTGAATTCTTGCTCATCCTGTTCATAGGACCTCTGTTGGTGTTAACTGTAATACTGCAAGTGTAATTTCCATAATTGATTTTAGATACGTTACCAATCTTAAGTACTGTCATTCTATCCTCTTCTTTTAAAATTAATTTTGGAGTTGTAGTGTTGAGTTCACGACCATCAATGAACCATCTCACAATGGGTTTAGTGTCTGGATGGATTATAGACCAGGCGCAGATAAAAGTATCGTGGATGGTTTTTTTAGCATTCCAAATTGTTGAGATAAAAGGAGGATTCATATCTTTAAAGGAAGAAAATAAACCTATATTATAGGTATAATATGAATGCATTTAAGTTAGATTTGCATTTGGTTATATTATATAATAGTATATACATAATATGATAGCCCCCCCCCCCCTTCACCTTCACACACAGGCCCCTATTGAACTCGCAAAAAATAATGATATAAACATGCCGACAACCATCTGTTTGACATATACATATAAATTATATAATTAAGTTCAGGCTAATTTGTAACAAAATTTAACAAATGACAGGCCTATAATCTATTAAATATTTGTAATATACAGTTGGGTCTGCCAAAACCATGATGTGATACATATATATGTTTGAATGTTTTATTCCAAGTGTTTTAGAATAGATACTATATACTGTTACTGATTTTTAATACCAGTAAACCATTTATCGGTAGCTACACATAAAGTCTTGCACATGTTCTACCACCTTTACAACACCCTACTAGCTATCGGTAGTAAACATGAAGCATCCGTAAATGATTTTGATGTAGGCCTATGTAGTCTAAAAAAGTAAAGCACTAATATCGCTATTTATTTTATAGGTAGTTTTGTTTTTGAAGGGAAAATTTTCAGTTTGCTACTGAATATAATTCTAACCATGCTATTAAATAATGTTGATACCGACACGCTGCCATAAGCACCAAAGATAACATCACTCTGCATTACATGTAGCTGAGATGAGCAATTAACTGAGAGGTGTTCCTGCTTTTTGTGCCGAAGATCCCGGTTCAAACCTGGCCAGCGTCAATTGGAGCCTGATTACTGGCTCCTCGAATGACCCTCATATTGAAAGTTAGTCGAGTTAAGTTATGGACAATGTTTGTATGGGTTTATTGTAGTTAAGTCGGGTGGTGCTGCACACTGCGGCTGCTGCTAGCCAAATTACCGATTTACAATTGAATGAGGACCAATAAAGAATTATTATTATTATTATTATTATTATTATTATTATTATTATTATTAATATTATTATTATTATTATTATTATCACACAATAATGGAGTGTTTACACTACGTCATACCTCACCATGGTTGGGGCTGATGTAAGGAAATTTATGGTGGCACCTCTAGATGGCCTCTTAGACTTAAATCTGACTATAATTTTCTCTTATTTTCAATTTTTTTAATAATAAAAAAAAATAAAGGTGGCCGCTGGGCCCTCTTCAATCCGTCACTGCCAGGGTCCCTAAAAAAGAAGCTCAGTGCTTATACTTGAGGTTTACGGTATGATTGTTACGTAGCCTAATAAGTGTACACTCACAATATACATCCAGAAACCAAATTATGATTCTCGTGATTTCGACTTCATAACCAACAACCTGGCAGTAGTAATATCCTGCATCTGCTCTGTTTACAGGTTCTATAATCAAATCTCCATAAGTTTGCTCAGTGAAATCTATAGAAAAGCGACCTTGATTGGGATCTACCAGGGTAACGATAATGTTGTTAGCATTCACTTCCGCACCGTTGAACCAGTTAATCGAGCCTATACTTGATAAACTATCTGCATCGGAGGGTGCCGGTAGTTCTATTCGATTTCCTTCGATTACCCAAAGTCGGTTCGTAGCTTCAGCTGCTTAAAATAAAGAATATAAATAATTCATTATTGAGCAAGATGACCGACTGTGCGACAACCCCAACAAAAATCAAAACGTTATTATAAAGTTCGTGAAATGTGTGCTAATGTAATACTGCGTTGCAGCAACGTTGCAATATTGTTTAATTGTAACATTATATTATGCTTAAGCTGTATATTTATGGATTTACAAAAAAGTTCTGTATACAAAACAGCAACCTTATATTATAGGCCTAACGCTATTATAACGTAACACTGTTAGCTGGGACATTACCTGCAATAATGTTTTCAGATACTCTTATAAAAACTAAAATTAAAAGGTATGGTTAGATACAAAGAAGAAATATTTATTTAATTCATTTTTTTTATCTCAAGGCCAAGACTATGCGAATAGTAAATTAAAACTAAAGGTGTGTTTAGATACAAAGAAGAAATATTAATTTTATTTAATTCATTTCCTTTTTAATCTCAAGTCCAAGACTATGCGAATAGTAAACTTCAGTTATGTGGCAATCCTTCACAATATAGAAACATACACAGAAAAGATGGTCTATTTCTACATAAATCTCATTATGAGTTTTGGGTAGTGGAGTTGTTTTAAGATTATGAGAACACATCCTGTTATCGTGACAGGAATAATCCATTTCGTAGTCTGAACTGCGCATGCCCATATCAACGTCAATCGACATAAACAGACATACTCACAACATAAGTTTATATCCATTGACCTTGGATACCACTGGATACAGGCATGCGCAGTTTAAACCACGAATTGTTTTATTTAACCCAGGACCCTTGGATTAAAAGGCAAGCATCATAACAACCAAGCTACAGCTGAACTTCTCTTGGTAAATAACACGGTACCGGTACTTTTTGCAGCAATGTGTTTAGTGACCCGACCTTGCCAGCTTATTTCCATGATGCAGGATATGTCTTTGCTGGATATCTAGTCATTTCTATCATTTTGTATACCGCCTAGCACATTTTGAGGATGTCTTACAGCGCTCACAATTTTATTATTACCATTGAACAGTAACTTACCTAAGAGAAAGATTGTTTTATTTTATTTTATTTTATTCCCGTATAAGATTAGCAATCAGCAGCCAAACGCATTCAGTAGGTGAACCATATATGGCACATGGGACGATTTGTAACGATTAGTACGCGTTTTTGGAATATTTTATTTGCATTTCTAAGGGTTAGCCCTAGAGTTATGGAACCTCGTGTCTCAGGGAGAAGATCTCTGTGGCGAGCTGACACCATAAGAGACTTAGCAAAGCTAGTGCAAATTTTCTTTCTCCTTTGTTCTAGAGAGTCAATGTGTAGAGTTTCTAGGAGATTATTATAGTGATCTAAATAGGCCAAGCAAGGATCCTTAAGGATCTTCTTTGGATAAAAAAGAAAATGCATACATATGACTGCGACAATATGATAGGTTTGCAGTATATTTATACTGTCATATCATAAAAAATACCATCTTTACAACTTTTTCGTGTAGCCAGGGAATTGTTTTTGTGTGTCAGGGGTGCAATGTTAGTTAACTACGGAGCCCCTAAAGGGACATGTTTAAAGAAAATATTCCCTCAAAATGATTTCGTTCCCTCAAAATATTATTTCGTTCCCTCGAAATATTATTTCGTTCCCTCGAAATATTATTTCGTTCCTTCGAAATATTATTTCGTTCCTTCGAAATATTATTTCGTTCCCTCGAAATACTATTTCGTTCCCTCGAAATAATATTTCGTGTATGGTCGCGACTACAGCATAATATACATTAGAACCCCCCCCCCCCCCCCTTTTCCGGCGGGACACCCCTATTCAGGGAACACTTTCCGTGAAACGAGGGAATGGGAAGGACCATGTATGTATCAGTCTGTATCCGTTTGATGTTGTAGAGTAAGTGGGGTACCGGTAGTTGGCGCCGAGCTATGGCAGCCGCGGGTCCCCGGGGACCCAACCCGAATTTCCCAGTGTGTAGGCATACATATACGAGGACAAATATTATTATTATTATTATTATTATTATTATTATTATTATTATTATTATTATTATGTATCTTTTAACATTACGGCCAATCCCTACCAAGTGGATACCCCAAGGGGACGAAGACAATCAAATTTTGACACTTTTTGAGGAATAAACCAACATTTTATTTCTTGAACTATTAGAGAACATCGGTATAGGCTTATGAGTGTGAAGAAATTTGGGGCTTCAATCGGATATGAATTCCTAACAAAACATCAATGGCCTAGTTGTTAATGGCGTCGATATATAGACGGGGGGAAATCTGACCCCTCGTCGGGGGCATCGACCCCTAGCCGGGGACCTCGG